GTCTTCCGGTGATGCCTGCTGGGAGCGCTATCCTCTGCGACCTGCATAGTTGTGGATTACCTAGATGCCAGACTCTCCTCCCTGATCTCCGGAGATCGCTTGTCAAGGCAGAACAGCCAGAGTAACCCAAAACCCAGACCTGCCTATCGTCTCCGCTTGAATACATGTGCAGTGAAGTCGCACTCTGTGATCTCTGAGAGTGGGGCTCTGGTAGCCCAGGTTGGCGAAGGCCACGTGGCAATATTGGCACAGTACACACACACACACACGTCTGTGAGTGCATGTGCAGACAGCGCTGTGATTTTCGAGGCAGATCGACAGACGTGCAGATTTTTGTGAAATTGTAGCTCTTGTACCTGTTTTGATGTGTCACCAACTTGCTAGATGCAGCTGGCAAGTGCCTCTCCAACTGTGCCCCTTCATGGCAAGACGCCAAAGCCCCTTTCTGCATGGTGTGCCAGGGCGGTGGTTACAGTATGGACTTGAAGCTTGGGCTGAACTTAGACTCGCGTTGCAAGTCTGTTTCTGGACAATTGTGTGTAGCTGCTTGTGGAGTCATACTGACAATGGTTGTTGTTGTTCTACAGCTCACAATACTAAATGTCACTAGTATAGTACTGCAGCAGAAACACCACCCAGACGACGACGGCTACTACTTAGCCAATGCTGGTGCTGGTGTCAGTGCCACGACGACACTACGGGCGCTATGATCATTGCTGCCGCTTGCAGTATGTGTCGTGATTGGGTAGTGCGGCTGTTATGGCTTGTGTGCTCGACATAGCTGTTGTATCAGTTCGACACCTTCCTCAACTTTGAACTGAGTTCTCCACACGACTTCCTCCTCTCAACTGTGACTACTACATAGCTTATACTGGTGCTGCTCACCAACAGCAAGAGAATCCACACAATATATGCAAACAAAACAAGCCCGTAAATGGAAAGAGTGTCAGTGCTTGGGCGTCAGGTCTTGGGAAAGTAGCTCTCGGACTAAGCTGGTCGTAAGACGTGTCAGGGCGACTTGCAGGATTAGTTGCTCAAGCAGCCACGAAAGTTCAGGAACTTTGCAATGCTGGTGCTGCCCACTTTGAAGAGCTTGCAAACGGCTACAAGGCGTGCGAAGCCTTCTGAGGATCTTTGATTATCTAGATCACAGAAACTCAGATTTCAATCAGCGAGTTCAGGTAGACTTCTTGAGTTTTTCGGTACAAAGCACTGGTGAGGACGACTCTATGCCCTACTGTGCTTGCAAGAATGCATTAAGAGAAACAGCAACCAGCATCAGCAGCGTGTGAGCTTGGTTTGGTTTACGAGCTTGGCTTGGTTTATGGATGTTTATGGGTATATATGTTGGAAAAACTTTGCTAGCCGAGCTGGAGGTGGCCTTCCCGATGCCTGCTTGAACCTAGGACCTAGCCTGGAGCGCACGACTTACGACCGAGAGCCCAACAGATTTTAGGATATCCGTCGTGCAAGCCGCAAGGGGTGTGGGTTCATCGCGAGAATGGATTCCAATCGATGCCGCCTCGCTGCAAAGACGTGTTTCGGGACATCCTGCAGCGGATGGCCCTCAAAATGAGTGAGAAGGATTATGCAATTATGCATGCTGCTCTTCGCCCTGAATCACGAGCTATGGGTCTGGGGAGTTTCCATTCCAGAGAGGAAGCAGGAGGGTTCCGCGGCTTCATGGGATGGGTCCGGCTTTGGGATCCAGAGCTTCAGTGGCCGCTTTGTGGTTCGGCGCTCCGGGCCTTCAGGTTGTGTCATGTAGGTGCTCCAGGGTTTTTCCGGTACAAGAGTCTGTGTCCGAAACATAATGAGTGCCAGTTGTGTTGGTCAACGTTGAGACTGCAACACGCTTGATCGACTCACGCAGGAGCATCTCGGGACCATACATGGGAACAGCTATACAGTCGAAAGCCCAAGAAACTTTGGCTTTCTGCCAACCTCATATTTAGATTCCTCCTGTGCGCTTCCCGGAGACTTAAGCTCGAAGCCCAACGAGCGGTTAAGCTTATGTTCAGATCTTGGCTGTACCGTGGCTATGTCCGTTCTGGGACGACCACCCGGTGTTGAGTCTTTGCTTCTCTACCGCAGTCGAAGCCCATCGACTTTGCAAATTGACTGGCTGGGCGTTCTGCATGTGCCTGATTTCGGGTGGCTTAGTCACGAGGATCCGATCAGCTTCCACATTGTCATCGCCGGCTTCACATTTCTGGGGGCTGCCATCCACATTGGAGCTCACTGTGTGCCGGGGCTCGATGACTAGACTTGTGTCAGGTTGATGAACAAATGGTCCAACATCTTGGGTTTAATCCATCCCTTCTTAGATTGCTCAGAGTGAGCGTTGTTTCTATTCGGACTTCCGGAAATGGATCTCGGGTCCAGTTGTGCCAAACACAAGCGGCAGCTGCCGTGCAGGTCACACAGCGGTGTCCCGAAAAGCCGGTATATCCCGTTCCCATGTAACAGTGCAGCAGCAGTTGTGCTGATTGCTGTGGAAGACCGCTGGTGGAATACGGACACGTCAACATAGATGATGTAAGGGGCCAGCATCGACACGCATCCTCGCAGGTGCACGCGTACTCCATCAAAGTGGCCCCACTGATGCAACTGGACCCCCTGCATTTGTGGAAGCTGAGCGCCGAGGAGCCTTCATTGCAGCCTCATGAACAACTGTTAAGACTGTGGCCATAGCTCACAATTTTGGTCCCAATGCTTAAACAGAATTACAAGTTGACCACATGTACCTCGATTGCGGGCTTGCGGACTGCCACTTGGTCTGGAAAGTGTAATGGTGTATCGCGTACCGAGCTGAGCTACAAGATCTGCAGACCGGTTTCTGCAGCACTAGATTCAAATCTGGAAAAAGATCCCAAAACACCAAGCCATCCAAAACCTCGAAATTGGATCCTTCCCCCGGACACTCGAACCTGGTACGTAAGCCCAGAAAGTGTAGAAGTTCATCAACCCTGGACTCGGCAGAGAGAGCCCTCAAGGCTTGGGCTCGACGGTTACGGGACACAAACTCTTCTTGTCCGTTTGCTGCCACGGCTGTTGACGCGACTGGTGCTGTTGCTGGAAAGAACTTGTACGGCTACCGTTGTTGCGCTGAAGCTATGCGTCATGTACGCTATATGCATTTACATACCTTATCATAGATGTACAAGTGGGTATGTATATCAGTAAGTTCTACAAATACCTTCACGGCCACATCCGCGAGAGGAGATGACTAGTGGGATGACTCTCTTCCATCAGCTTCTGAACTTCTCGAACCGCTGTGCTGTCCTCACCGGGCTGCCACTTGGTGCCAAGATAAACCAGGAGCCCATGCCGCACTGCAGGTTCCAACGCTAAGAGCAGTTGGTTTGAGTATCTGATGCAGATCTCGCGTCTCGATTGAAACACATCGGACAGTGTTGACCGTCTGGTTGCGGTGTGAGGGGGTTTGGTAACGAAGCCCAACACTTCCATCCGTCTTGTGACTCGGGCCTAGCAGCAATTCGATACAGGTTGGACCGAAGCTACTAAATGGAGAGCTGGTGGTGCCAACGTGCTGTAGGCCTGTAAACTTCAATTTCTCATCATGCGGAGGGCTTAATCTTACACCCGAGCCCCTACAACTGTAGAAGTCGTTGCACTATCCATGTGCACCCGCCGGGAACGGGTTGGAGGGCTCGTTGCGCTTAAGCGTTACTCAGGGGATTCGTATTACAATTAGGCAGCCGATGGGCAATCGGTGCTTTTAAGTTAAACGGTCTACAGGGAGGGTTGGTGGTGAAGACTACCCGGCGACAGATTACAAGAAAGAGCATGTAAAAGGGTTAGTAGCAACAGCTATTAGTACTAGTAGTAGTAACAGTAGTAGCGGTAGTGGGGCTCTTGGCTTGCAAGTCACAAACCGGGTCTCGTTCCAGGTCCACTTAGGATACACAGTTTTTACGCCCACTCCGATTCCCAGGCGAGCCTGGAATGCATGAATATGTGTGTTTGTAAGCACTTTGGCGACGGTCTGCTTTCAGAATGGACAAATCGCGTCCCTGTGCATGCACCCGTGCTATGAGCCTTAGAAACATTTCGGCCACGGTGTCTACTTGCTCAGCTGACGAATAGGCCATTGCGGCCGCACGGGGGGGAGAATTAAAGTCGTCCGCGCTACTGGCGCCACTCGCTCAGTTCAAGGAAAGAGTGGAACAGGTAACGTACAGGGGCGACTGGAGCGAGTGGCACGAGTGGAACACGCTTCTAGTGGAACGACTGGCACGATTGGAACGGTCGGAGTAGTGGAGTAGCTGGCCCTTAGATTACAGACCCGACTCTCAACATCTCAAAACCTCGTCCGCGCCACTCGCGCCACTCGCTCCACTCCCACTCGCTCTAATCAGTGGAACAGGTAACGAGTGGAGCGAGTGGAGCGAGTGGAGCGAGTGGAGCGAGTGGAGCGAGCGGAGCGAGTGGAGCGAGTGGAGCGAGTGGAGCGAGTGGAGCGAGTGGAGCGAGTGGAGCGAGTGGAGCGAATGGAACGAGTGGAACGAGTGGAGCGAGTGGAACAGACGGACTAGCGCCCCCCAATGCCTGCAAAAAGGCGTTTACAACCGATCTTGTTCGACATCTAAACCTCAAAGCACAAGTGTTTACCTCGATGTTGTTCGACATCTATGCCTCAAAGCGAGCGTTTCCCCCGATCTTGTTCGACATCGATGCCTCAAAGCAAGCGTTTACCCCAATCTTGTTCGACATCTATGCCACAAAGCACGAGTGTTTTCCCCGATCCTGTTTGACATCTATGCCTTAAAAAAGCGATTACCCCGATCCTGTTCGACATCTATGCCTCAAAGCACGAGTGTTTACCCCGATCCTGTTCGACATCTATGCCTTAAAAAAAGCGATTACCCCGATCCTGTTCGACATCTATGCCTCAAAGCAAGCGTTTACCCCGATCTTGTTCGACACCTATGCTTCAAAGCACAAGCGTTTACCCCGATCTTGTTCGACATCCATGCCTCAACTGAAGTGTTTACATTACCCCGATCTTGTTCGCTTCTATGCCTCAAAGCAAGCGTTTCAGTACCCCGATCTTGTTCGAAATCTGAGCCTCAAAAGCACAAGTGTTTACCCCGATCCTGTTCGACGCTTATGCCTCAAAGCAAGAGTTTTAAGTGTCGGCGTAGATGCCGAACAGGACCGGGGTAAACACTCGCTTTGAGGCATAGATTCGGCATAGATGTCGAACAAGATCGGGGTAAACGCTGGCTTTGAAGCATGGATGTCGAACAGGATCGGGGTAAACGCTTGCTTTGAGGCATAGATGTCGAACAGGATTGGGGTAAGCACTCGTGCTTTGAGGCATAGATATCGAACAGGTTCGGGGTAATCGCTTTTTTGAGGCATAAATGTCGAACAGGATCGTGTTAGTGCTTTGAGGCATAGATGTCGAACACGATTGGGGTAAACGCTTGCTTTGAGGCATCGATGTCGAACAAGATCGGGGTAAACGCTCGCTTTGAGGCATAGATGTCGAACAGGATCGGCGTAAATATTGTTTTGAAGCACAGATGCGAACAGGATCGGGGTAAACGCTGGCTGTAAGGCATAGATGTCGAAGAAGATCGCGGTGAACACTTGTGCTTTGCGGCATAGATGTCGAACAGGATCGGGGTAAATATTGTGTTGTGAGGCACAGATGCGAACAGGATCGGGGTAAACACTTGTGCTTCTGAGGCTCACATTTCGAACAAGATCGGGGTACTGTAAGGCTTGCTTTGAGGCATAGATGCGAACAAGATCGCGGTAAGGTAAACACTTGAGTTGAGGCATGGATGTCGAACAAGATCGGGGTACACACTTATGCTTTGAAGCATAGATGTCGAACAAGATCGGGGTAAACGCTTGCTTTGAGGCATAGATGTCGAACAGGATCGGGGTAATCGCTTTTTTTAAAGCATAGATGTCGAACAGGATTGGGATAAACACTCGTGCGTTGAGGCATAGATGTCGAACAGGATCGGGGTAATCGCTTTTTTAAGGCATAGATGTCGAACAAGATCGGGGTAAACACTCGTGCTTTGTGGCATAAATGTCGAACAAGATTGGGGTAAACTCTTGCTTTGAGGCATCGATGTCGAACAAGATCGGGGTAAACGCTCGCTTTGAGGCATAGATGTCGAACAGCATCGAGGTAAACGCTTGTGCTTTGAGGTTTAGATGTCGAACAAGATCGGTTGTAAACGCTTTTTTGCAGGCATAGATGCCGAACAGGACCGGGGTAAACACTCGCTTTGAGTCATAGATTCGGCATAGATGTCGAACAAGATCGGGGTAAACGCTGGTGCTTTGATAGGTGTCGAACAGGATCGGGGTAAGCACTTGTGCTTTTGAGGCATAGATGTCGAACGAGGTCGGATAGACGTCGAACAAGATCGGGGTAAATGCTTGCTTTGAGGCATAGATGTCGAGCAGGATCGGGTAAACAATTTTGAGGCATAGATGTTGAATAGGATCGGGAAAAACACTTGTGCTTTGCGTCACAGATGTCGAACAGGTTCGGGGTAAACGCCTGCTTTGAGGCATAGATGTCGAACAAGATCGGAGCAAACACCTGCATTGAAGTATAGGTGCAGAATTGGATCGGGTTAAATACTTGTGCTTTTGAAGCATAAATTTCGAACAAGATCGGGGTAAACGCTTGCTTTGAGGCATAGATGTCGAACAAATTCGGTGTAAACGTTTGTGTTTTGAGGCATAGATGGTGAACTGGATCGGGATAAACACTTGTGCTTTGAGGCATAGATGTCGAACAGGATCGGGGTAAACGCCTGCTTTCAAGCATGGATGTCGAACAAGATCGGGGTACACGCGTGCTTTGAAGCATAGAAGACGAGCAAGATCGGGGTAAACGCGTGCATTGAAGCATAGATGTCGAACAAGACCGGGGTAAGGTGAACGCTCGAGTTGAGGCATAGATATCGAACAAGATTGAGGTAAACGCTTGTGCTTTGAGGCATAGATGTCGAACAAGATCGGTTGTAAACGCCTTTTTGCAGGCATAGATGCCGAACAAGACCGGGGTAAACACTCGCTTTGAGGCATAGATTCGGCATAGATGTCGAACAAGATCGGGGTAAACGCTGGCTTTGAAGCATGGATGTCGAACAGGATCGGGGTAAGTGACGTCGAACAAGATTGGGGCAAACACCCGTGTTTTGATAGGTATGTGTCGAACATGATCGGGGTAAGCACTTGTGCTTTGAGGCATAGATGTCGAACAGGATCGTGTTAGTGGTTTGAGGCAAAGATGTCGAACACGATTGGGGTAAACGCTTGCTTTGAGGCATCGATGTCGAACAAGATCGGGGTAAACCCTCGCTTTGAGGCAAAGATGTCGAACAGGATCGGGGTAAATATTGTGTTTTGAGGCACAGATGCGAACAGGATCGGGGTAAACGCTTGCTGCGAGGCATAGATGTCGAAGAGGGTCGCGGTAAACTCTTGTGCTTTGCGGCATAGATGTCGAACAGGATCGGGGTAATCGCCTTTTTAAGGCATAGATGTCGAACAGGATCGGGGTAAACACTTGTGCTTTGAGGCATAGATGTCGAACAGGATCGGGGTAAACGCTTGCTGTGAGGCATAGATGTCGAACAGGATCGTGTTAGTGCTATGAGGCATAGATGTCGAACAAGATTGGGGTAAACGCT